CTCTATACTTTATTTATTCCTCTTTTTTTTTTTTTTTTAGAGGTTTTTGCTATAGGGTGTGTGCGTTCACCAGACAGACAGAGAGAGACAGAGAGACAGAAAGCGAGAAATCACCCCCCAGGGGGGATGACCTCGCCGCATTCCCTTTTCCTCCATTCTCCTCTCGGGATCTTGGGCACGTATGCACACACACCTGGCATGAGTTTAAGCCACCGGGTCCGAGACTCGAACCACGGTCGACTACGTGGGAGTCCAGTGACATAGCCATTATGCCAACTTCTGGTCCTACTCTTCTTATTTATTATGTGTCTTCCCTACAAGAATTCAAGCTCTGGGAGGGCAGGAGCTTCTGTCTGTTTTATTCACAATTGCATTTCCAGTACATTAAATGGGAACTGGGTACACGGAAGATGCTCAAAACCATTTCCTGAATTCAAATATGAATGGACACTAAGTGCCTCTGCCTTCACACAAGTGTCAATGTCCCAGGGGCCACAGGGAACTTGGCTGTAGTTAAATGAGATGAGTTTATTACTTACAGAGAGGAAGAATGCACACCCTGGGGAACTGGGGGTGTCTCGGAAAGATGTTATTAGAAAGGATTATAGGATTTTAGTGATTTGGGAGATGGTATAAGAATGTGAGAATTTATTCTAGATTGGATGTCATCAGAAAGTAGAGGCATTTCTTTGATTAGATACAGAACAGCAGTCATTCAGTTAGCAAACACAAAGATTGTTCAGTCTTTGTGACTTGAAGAGTGACCTTGTTTCTTTTTCTTTCTCTTTTATTACTTCTTTCTTTCTTTCCTTCCTTCCTCCCTCCCTCTCCCCTCCTTTCCTTTGTTCCTTACTTTTTTCTTTTTCTCTCTTCTTTCTCTTTTTCTTTTCCTTCCTTCCTTCCTTCCTTCCTTCCTTCCTTCCTTCCTTCCTTCCTTCCTTCCTTCCTTCGTTCTATATTTCTTTTCCTTTTGTTTATTAGAGAAATTTTTGCCATAGGGCACATGTGCATGTTGAAGAGACAGAGAGAGGCAGGAAGCAAGAAATCACCCCCCAGGGGGGATGACCACGCTGCAATCCCTTCTCCTCCATTCTCCTCTCGGGATCTTGGGCACACATGCACATGCACCTGGCATGAGTTTTAAGCCACCAGGTCCGGGACTTGAACTGCAGTCAACTAGGTGTGAGTCCAGCTACATAATCATTACTCTATCTGCTGGTACCCTCTTTTCTTTTCTTTTAAATGTATCACAAGCAACTAAACTTTTGAGGAGAAGGAGTGAGAAAAGAAATAGGAATCAGTAGGGTATAGAGGCTCCTTTGCAGGTCGTTGTATGTGTACATGGCAGACCCAACTCCCCCAAGTTAACCTGCTAATCTGCTTCTTCATTATCTCCTTTAATATCAGGCAGAGGACACTGTGATGAACACTTGGGGCCTTCTTTGAAATAGGCCCCGACTTTTTGATGCTTTTGTCACTTTTCCCTGTGCGTGGAAGATAGGAACTGTCAAGCCAAAGCCAGTATAGAAGTAGCTTACCCTTCCTCACTGTGGCTCTGAGGAGAAAGCTACTTCCCATTCTCCATGACTTTCATGGCCATGCCCCTTTGCTGGAAATCATTTGCCCAGGGTCTTTTAAAACATTTTCCCAGAAGTTTCTTTACTAAAGAAAGGTAACTGGTCCATCGTATATGTTCTTAGAGCAATCATCCAGGGAGAAAAAACTGGATGATAAAATTTAAGAGACAAATTCAGGTTAAACTTCTTCCTCATCCTTAATCTCACAATCTTGCCAAATCTTCCTAAAATTCTACCAATTAGAGATGTTTTTAAAGGAGAAAGACTCTTTTGAACTGCAGATTATCATGGGGGAAGGGAGAAAAAAAGATTGCTATTGGTGACTTATGTCTAAATGTGGACAATTGCACAAGTTACTATACTACAATAATTGGTGGAGGATGATAGAACTTGGCAGTCAAGATTTCAATGGTGTAGATGGAGTGAGGTAAAGGGGTCTTGGGGAATTGAAGCCAAGGGGACTTTTGGAAGGCCAGTTTGAGTGGGTTCCCTAGTGAAGGAAGGCAAGAGGAGCAGAGGTCTAGAGATTGCATGGTGGGGGTGAGACATTGAGAAAAACTTCTGGGAGGTGTCAAGTGAATGGATCTCCTGCCAGCAAGCCAAGTTTAATGAGGAGAAGAACAACAGGTGCAATAGCAGCTATATTGTGGCTGTGAGGAAGGGGGGACAGAAACCTAAATGTACAGCAAATAGGGGACTTCAGCCCAGGATTTTTACTTATTTATTTTGCATGTATTTGTGTACCAGCCCAGTTTACCAGGAACTATGCCTGCCATCTGCCATGAAATTGCATTTGCAGTCAAAGAGAGTAAGGAGAATAAGAACACTTGAAAAGAAGAGAGATGCTCACTTGGCAACTTTGTAATAAACGAATGAGGACTTTCCTGTTAATGAACCTATACACAAATCTGTATTTCTTACCATGAGGTAGACTCTAATGAAAAATCAAAGAGAAGGGGCAGTTTGGGTTATCACTAATTTTTTGTGGTCATGAATTAGATCCACTTGAAAATGCTGCACTTTTCAAACCAGAATTTAGACTTTTGGTATAATGTTTTATGCTACTACATGGGGTAATAGTCTCATTTGTATTGTAGAGGAGTACAGGTATTTATTCAATGAATGAAATTATCTGTCTTTATAGCTCTTAAAATCTATTTTGTGTTTACCTATTTACTTAGGGCTACTTAAATGTCTTTGAATAAAGTTTTATAAAGTATTACAATTTTTAAATTTGTATGTAATTTTTATTTCTTTCAAAATTAAAATTGGTTTATGAAGTCTCTCAGAAGAAAATGTGTGTTTTTGTAACTTAGATTATTTATGTCTTTTGGTAACATATTTTTTATATTCTTATTTTACATTCAATTACTGCATATCATTAGAACATACAAAATGAGTTTTTCAAGTCAAAGATATTACCATACACATTATCAACAGATAATTTTTCATTTTTGTGTCCCCTAAATGTTTTGCTTCTTTCTTTTTCCCCTTGATTCCTTCCCTTTCACTATCCCCTATTCCCTACCCTCCTCCCACACTGTCTCTAGTGTCCACAGTTGTTCTCCCTGCTTTTATACCTTCCAATCTTTCAGTTTCTGCCATAGAGTGCAGACATTTGGTATATATTGAGTGGAGTCATATGATACCTCTTTAATAGTCTGGCTTGCATCGCTTAGCAGTCTATTTTATTTTATTTATTTGGAGAGGTTTTTGTTATAGGGCATGTGTGCTTACCAGAAAGACATAGAAAGACAGAAAGCAAGAAATCACCCCCCCCCCGAGGGGGATGGGCACGCCACAATCCCCTCTCCTCCATTTTCCTCTCGGGATCTTGGGCATGCACGCACACATGCCTGGTGTGAGTTTAAACCACCGGGTCTGGGACTCTTACCACGGTTGACTACATGGGAGTCCAGTGACATAGCCATGACACCAACTGCTTATCTCACAATCTTAGGCCTGAGATATTATGAGGTTTGGCTGGTGACTTCTAGTGGTTGAAAATGACAATAATATGCAATGTGCTACACCCAGGCAGTGAGTTTTGCTGGAGGAAATCGGCATAAGTCATGGATTTGTTGGAAAGAGCCTACATCAGAGTTCTTGGTTGTGAGCAACTTAACTAAAACTTTATTTAAGTGAGGAGAAAAATGCTTTCCCATGAGCACAATATTGCCCCTAAACAGTAACAATGTGGACATTAGGTTTTCAATAACCCTGCAGGCCTGACTCTTTTGGACACTGGCATTTCTGTCACCACTGGCAACACTACCTCTCAGCCTCTGAATCCCAAGATCCAAGTCAACGTGTATAATAGGGTGCATCTAACTGGCCTGCCCAAGGTCACATGGCAGTATCCAAGCTCCAAGAAAGGCGAGGAAAACATCTGGACTTTTTTTTTTTTTTTACTTTTAATTTAATGAAATATAGTCTCTGTCGTCCAGCAAAACAAGTACAGTGCAGAATTCCCTAGAAGAAGAGGGTCCATAACTTGAGCTCTCAAAGGCCAAATGTCCGCTCTAGAACCTAACCTCACTGTATGGGCATAACCATAATGTGTCTTCATTTTAATGACATAGAAGACTACAAAGGTTTTGTGTCATCAAACGCTTTGATGAGCTTTTTCATAAATAATTATTTTGTAGTAGTTTTTTTAAAAATGACTAAAAAGGAAACTTGATGGAAGTACTTGTTATCCTCTACCCTCTCTTACTGTCCAAACTCCTCCCTATCTTCTCAGCCCAATTCACGTGTTACATATTTTCTGTGGTATTACTTGCTGTTCAACCGCTTCCTCTTCCTGCCTACTCCTTACCCTCAGGAGTAACTGTGCTAATAAATTATCATGCAGTATTCATTGTGCATTTTGATAACTCCAATTTTATATTGCCTTCCTTACCATGTAACGTGGTATCAAATGAGCCTTTTCAATCTCCCTAAGCCTCAGTTCCCTCATTTGTAAAACTGAAATGTAATAATAAGCCTAACACAATTATTACAAGATAAAATGAGAGAAATATTATAAAGCACTTAAGCACAATTCCTGGGATTTCATGACTTTTCCAAAACAATGGTAAACATTATTTTATACCTTTATTTGATCTGGAGTTCCTTGAAGACAAGGACCTCTCTTATTTATTTTGTATTCTGGACACAGTGTCTCATACTCCATGAATATTTATTGAGTTGCAGTGCTTGTCTCTGAATAGAAGCTTCAGTTGCTCGTATGTCTCAATGTATTTATTGGTTTCATTAAGACCTTTAAATAAAATATACCTTATAATGTAAATAGAATAGTAATATCCACTCAATATTTGATTCTTTTTTTTCTCAAAATTATCTCTAACAGAAAATTTAATTTCTCCATAGGTCTCCTAAAGTACATAAAAGCAGAAGATAACATAAGATTTTTATCTTATTATGAAGTTATTATCTCAAGGACAATTAAGGCTTTGTGTTTTTCAATCAATACATCTGACATCATGGCTATTAATATTTTTTATTCTGAAGTCTATCTCTTCTCTAAAACCTGCTCAACTTCCATTTTATCAAAGGAAACCTTTTATAGCTGCTTGGAATGCTCCTACAGATCAGTGTTTGTTAAAATATAATGTAAGGTTAAATTTGAAAATGTTTCAAGTCACTGGAAGCCCACTAGCCAAAGCCAGGGGGCAAAATGTCACTATATTTTATTTCAACAGATTGGGATACTATCCATGGTATACATCACAAGGGATCCCTGTTAATGGGGGTCTCCCACAGAACATAAGTTTGCAGCTACATCTGGAAAAAGCTGACCAAGATATCAATTATTATATCCCTGCTGAAGATTTCAGCGGACTTGCTGTTATAGACTGGGAATACTGGCGACCACAGTGGGCACGGAACTGGAACATGAAAGATATCTACAGACAAAAGTCAAGAAAGCTTATTTCTGATTTGCAGGAGAATGTATCAGCTGCTGATATTGAATATTTAGCCAAAGCAGCCTTCGAAGAAAGTGCAAAAGCTTTCATGAAGGAAACCATCAAATTGGGAACTAAAAGTCGACCTAAGGGCCTTTGGGGTTATTATTTATATCCTGACTGCCACAATTATAATGTGTATGTCCCAAACTATACTGGGTCATGCCCAGAAGAAGAAGTGTTGAGGAACAATGAGCTCTCTTGGCTCTGGAACATCAGTGGTGCTTTATATCCTTCGATCGGTATCAGAAAATCCCTTGGAGACAGTGAAAACATTTTGCGCTTCTCACAATTTCGGGTGCAAGAATCCATGAGGATCTCCACAATGACATCCCATGATTACACTCTGCCTGTGTTTGTCTACACCAGGCTGGGGTACAGAGATGAACCTTTATGTTTTCTTTCTAAGGTAAGATGCTCCTTGTCTAATGATGGGGGGTTTCCTCCTTATCTCTAAATGAGACACTTCTTTTCTAATTATGCTCTTCGAGGAATTTCCAATTAATGATCTGTTACATAGGAAGATAATTCTTCCTTGACGAGTCATCTACTTAGAATCTTCATTTATGCAAACTCAAGTTTCTAAAAGTTTGTTCATTCAGAGAAAGAGAGAGACACCTTTGACAGGGACTTGTCATGCCAAAATCTAGCCTGAAACCTTCCAGCCAGCCAGGATCATGTGTTCCTGTGTGCCAAGGTCAAATGTTTGGATCCCGGTATCCAATCTCAATATCACTCCAGCATTGTATAGTGGCATCTTACTTCCTGTGTCATCATGACTGGGCTATATGCAAACCGGATTTTGATCATTTTATTTATTTTTATTAAGGGATAAAGTAAGGTGGGGAGGCACTAAGGTGCAATGCCAGGAGCTACTGCACTTTCTGCTCCCCCTTTTGATTGTGCTACTCCACAAATGACCATTTTAGAAGATTATTGGAATGGTTGGCAGTGAACATGTTAGAGAATAGAAGATGTTTTGAAATGGAGCAGTTTATTCACATGTATGAGAATAGAATTGAAGACATTTCTGCTCCTGGTTTTACTATGTCAATATATATATATAGTTTTCTTTTTAGTGTGTAATACTAACCATGAGAAAAGTCATCAAGGAGGTACAATAATGTATATATATTTAATATTACTGAAGTATACACTGAAAAATGACTGAAATACGAAATTTTATGTTATGTGTTTCTTTTACCACAATTAAACAAAATTTTCAGTTTCAAAAGGTATGAGGAGGTTACAAACTAGTAAAAAGCATGTGCGTTTGTGGATTTATTCTGGGTTAGTCTTGCCTCTATGACTACAAATAATGCAAAGTTGGTAAGACTGGCGTGAATGTTTATATTCAACACAAATCTCTAGTGTGTGGATTTATAACATTACATTGAATTAAATGGTTTAGATAGAATTTTTAATATTTATTTTACTCAAGTTATTACATACATGCTGCCCAAGACCCTTATATAAACCATACGAGTAAATTC